ATTAATAAAGGAAACACCCTAGGGTAACAACATTCATTTGCAATGTATAATGCTACAGATATATCACAAACTATCACGATATCCACTTTTGGTTTTAATACAATTATCCTCATGCCAGTTGCTTTTATTTTATACCTTTTTGTGCATTTAGTGCACAACCGTACCCTTCAGAGAGTAGGAGTATAATAAGTAATGAAGAGCTATAAGATGTTAAGTTTAATGGAGTAAAATGAGGATCAAGTAAAGACGTTGTCAGAAAATAAATGAGATAAGACATTGTGGAGTGGTATGAAAAGATCTGACGATAGACAGCAAGTTAATTTATAAGATGCCCCATAAATCTGAGCAGATCCCACATGGTCGCATCTCAACAATAGGCTGGGTGAATGGTATATATTTAAAGGTAGAAGCATGATCTGTCAAGGCGTTCATTGTTATCTTTTTCAAGATAAAGATTTAAGCCCTCATAAAAACCAGAAATATCTCGAGCCTTCAAATTTTTTTAATGCTGTTCCTGCAGAATGGGGCGATTCACCTTAGTGTCCACCACCATATCTACTGATCAGCTTACTCCACCCTCCCACCTTTTTTGATGTTAGGCTCTGAGACTATGATTATTATGGTTACCGCAAATATATTGCTTGGTACCAAACATGTTCGTACCCCATATTCCATCTCCCTAGCTTTCTTAATGAGTGCTTCCAATAGGTCCCCGCGTACATCTTTATGAACATATTATATATGTATGCATGCGTCCTAATGAACAGATTACTTTATAAGAAGACAAAAACCTTGAAGAATAACAAGAATAGGTTTTGTGAATAGTGGAACAAGATTCAGCAGAACAATATAGTTAGGGTTCAATATAGGTAGTATGAACTGAAGGTAAGGTCGGTTGGCAGGACCAAGTGTACTAAATTATCATGACAGTTTTATATATAGTAAACATTTGACATTGCAAAGTAACCTGTCTACATATATTATAAAAAGATATTAGCAGAACCAACAAAATTTCAGCATTTGGTTAACAATACTACAGAAAGTTAGTGAGTCTTACAGGTAGCCGTAAAGTAAATCAATCTATATACAATAAGAGTGTAATCATTGTTATAATTCGTATTATCAAAGAATACATTAGGCTCAAAAACTGAATGTTATAAGGGAAATAAGAGTGATAAACTAAGAGAACATTTGCTGCGTAAGTAATCATTTTAAGTATTTTAATGATAATCTAATTTCAAGTATTGAACATGCATAATTACTAAGTATTATTAGGTTAGTCTAGGAACTAGTGTACTGTCTGTAGTTAAATATTGAAATGTCATGGTTTCACCACTCTACCAGCAGTTGAGATCATTTAGAAGGGCTAGGGTAGACATGTTAATATGTTTTTCTAGGCTCCTTTTGAAACTGTCAGGCCTTTCACAGGATCTAATCTCAGAGGGTAGTTGGTTCCAAAGTTTGCAATATTTAATGGTGAAGAAGTTAGCTCTAGTGGTGAGCTTATGGGTGTTAACCTTGAGAAGGCAGTTATGGTTGCGTAGTCCATACGATTTAGGATTAGCCCAGGTTATAGACGAGTTACTGTTACAGTGCTTTCTTATAACTTTGAATAAGAGAAATAAATTGCACTTCACTCTCCTTAACCATAAGGGTTCTAAGTCCAGTCGAATACATCTGTCAAGGTATTCTATTTGCTGATCATAACCTAATATGCGTTTCGTGAGGAATCTTTGGACACTTTCAACTTTTTTTCTGTCTGCTGATTTAAAGCTACTGTATAAGTGGGCACAGTATTCAAGTTTGGGGCGAATGCATATCTTATATATGGCTAATCTGGCTTCTGGGGTGTAAAAGTTGCGTAGCACAAAGCCTGTTAGACGTTTACAATCAGATACCACCTTATTTGCATGTTCAGTAAAGGTAAGATCTGAGTATGTTACCCCGAGATCTGTGACTGTGTTCGTGTTTGAGACAGGGTCACCGTACATGTATAGACACATGCTAGGTTTCCAACGTCCGAAGTATGTTATCCCAGATTTAGCTGGATTGAACATTAACTGCCACTTTTCACTCCAATTACATAGACTATTTAGGTCTTCTTGGATTTTACTAACAATATTCATATCATTATAGTCGAAATCATAGACAACTTTGAGGTCGTCTGCAAAGAGGTATGGCTTGCCATACTTGATCATAGAAACAATATCATTTATGAATACAACGAATAGGATAGGGCCAAGAACACTACCTTGTATTACGCCGCTGGTTATCGGTTTGGATGTTGATAAGTGATGGTTGACTTTAACTAACTATTCTCTTCCTGTAAGAAAAGAAGTTATCCACTCAAGTAGCCTTCCACTTATTCCATAAGATAGGAGTTTCAATATGAGTCTCTTATGTGGAACCTTGTAAAAAGCTTTCCTAACGTCTAGGAATAATGTTGCTGCTGAACGACCTTTGTCTACACACTCAGTAATGTGGTCGAAATAATCTAATTGGCAAGTAATGCACGATCTTCTATTTAGGAAACCGTATTGGAAGGCGGATATTAAGTCATTCGAGAGCAAAAACTGAACAATTTGCTTCTTTATAATCTTTTCCATCACACGTGAAACTACGGAAGTAATGTTGATGGGGCGGTAATTATCTATGTCCGCTATAGGCCCGGTTTTGTGAATGGGTACAACGTAAGATTTCTTCCAGCTATTTGGATATGTTCCACTCCTTATCGAAGTTGAAAATATCTTGTATCGATTCATGTCGGAAAGAAAAACAAACACGGGGCATGCGCCTTAGCAGGCAACATCTCACTAGTCTGGAGATGGCTGAAACATTCATTTTAGCCTTGGCCAAACAGTTAAACGGCAATGTGGGTATTACCCACACAGACCAAAATGGTGGCACCACTACTTCACAGGAGGAAGACCTAGTGGCTACTCCCCAAATAAACCCCGCAGTAGTACTCGGGAAGCTACAGCGACTCACACCTGGGAAGTCCCCAGGTTGTGATGACATCAGGCCATCTGTTCTGAAACAGTGCGCCGAAGCTCTCTGTAGGCCTTTATGCGACTTGTTCCAACACTCCATGGAATCAGGGAAACTGCCAAAGGAACGGAAAAGAAGCATCTTTCTCCGATCTTCAAGGGTGGGGATAGGCAAAATCCCACCAGTTATAGACCAGTAGCTCTACTCCCAGTGGTATCGAAAGTACTGGAAAGTATTATTGATGATCACATCAGGGAATATCTGGATAGGTCTAAAATACTCCATGAAGCCCAACACGGCTTCAGGAAAGGAAGATCCTGCGGTACTAACTTACTATCAGCTTGGGACGACTGGACATCATGCTGGGATATGAATGTTCCAGTCCATGTGATCTTTCTAGACTTTGAGAAGGCATTTGACACTGTTCACCATGACCTTCTCCTACACAAAATAAGCCAGGTAGGTTTAGGTAAACCACTTCTGTCATGGTTGAAGGACTACCTAACTGAAAGGCAATTTTGCACCAAGGTCAATCGAGTCCAATCATCATGGCACAGCTCGTCATCAGGAGTGTCGCAGGGTTCTATCCTGGGACCACTGATGTTCTCGATTTTTATCAATGATCTACCATGCCGTCTAAGCTGCCCGACTCTTCTATACGCTGATGACGTAAAGATATGGAGGGCGATAAAGTGTCCGGAGGACTCAGATAGACTGCAGGCAGATCTAAGGCTTCTGGAAGACTGGGCGGTCGCCAGTGGCATGACTTTCAACCTGAAAAAGTGCAAAGTAGTGAAGTTAGGCACCTGTAGATTGCAGAATGCAAGTTACACCCTGTGCAATGAAAGCTTGTCCTGCTGAACGTCGGAACGTGACTTAGGTCTAGTTCTAACGGGGAAAATGGCCACAAGCGTGAATTACACGGGGGATGTAGCGAGGGGATATGCGGTCATACACTTCACACATAGACAATTAGGTGCACTCACTCCTGAGCTCTTTCTAAGGTTGTATAAAACATACGTCAGACCGCATCTTGAGGTGCATAATATCATTGCACCCCCACTGCTTAAAAGAGACGCCAACCTTTTGGAAAGAGTCCAACGACGGGCAACAAAAGGAGTGGTTGGTCTCCGAAATAAACCATATGATGAAAGGCTGAAGAAATTAGGCCTATTCACACTTAGTTACCGTCGTCTTAGGGGGGATTTAATTACTGCCTACAAAGTAACAAATGATCAGAATCACCCAAACAAAGGTGTTCTGCCATTGAGTAGGTATAGGCTTCCTCGTGGAAATCCTAGAAGGATAGCTCATCAGAGGGCAAGGACCCGGGTGCCCTCCCACTTCTTTTCCCTGCGGGTTTGCCGTCCCTGGAATTCCTTACCGGCAGATGTAGCTATGGCACCATCTGTGGACGCCTTTAAGCGAAGGCTGGACAACCATGCAGCGACACAAGGACTGCATCCAAATGGCCTATCCCCTTAAAATCGCATACACCATTCAAGAGTAGACAATTAAACTTGTTTTACTTCTTTACATTCTCTTCCGTCTTGCTCTCCTGACAGCTTTAACTACACCTATTATTATCATTATTACTGGTATATATATATACCGGTTGACTGACTGTTGTTACGTTTTCTTATTCTTTTTCTGTCTGTTAGTCTGAATACCTTCACTAATTATATCTATTATTATTATCTCTTTTCTATTGACGACGATACCGAAGGACCATCTGGTGAAAGGATCAACTCCATTCACAGTAGTAACAGTCTTAACACACTTCATACTACAAACCCCATATAATTAACCCCAGCACTACTCCTGTTGGAGTCAACCAAAGCTACGGCAGTCGAGTGGCGAGACGAGCTACGCAGATGTTTACCGAAGATCAAGGACCTCCACCTCACAATCAAGAGGCGAGCACAAAGAAATCAAATTGGTTTATACTAGCTCGTAAAAACGATATTGGATATTGCACAGTAGGTGGGTGTTTCTGATAGGCTAAGGACAAAGGATTATTCAAATTACAGCGTTACTATGGTTCTGTGGCGTACCCTTGGGTCCTTAAAGGGATTGTTGTATGAACCTTACGGTTTTTTGTTTCTATCGCCTCTGCTTCTGATTGCAGATGTTTTATTTAGTTATGTAATTGTTGAAAAAGTCCCATGTATGCAGTTTTCCGATTTTCTCATTTAATGTACTTAATTTCAGACACAGAAATAGACTGGGTCGCTTATATGCAGCAGGTTGCAGGGTTTTTAAATGGCACTTTGGACTATGACAAGTTGGAAGGGCAAACAGGCCCGTGCGTGTATGTTATAGTAGCTAAACTTGAACATTTGTAGTTACCCAGCTGGATTTTTATACATATACACTTTTCTTTACTGGCTTACCAGTGCAGGAACAGTCATAAAAACTGCTCAGTTCGTCTTTCTCGCGTTGTATATCGCTACATTAGTGCTGGTTTTCAATATATACAGATTGTCATTCCAGGTAATTTTCATTGCATTACGAATTATTGCAGGTTCCCCCCTATGCCCTCGTTTTTATGTGTGTTGTATCTTATCGTGTGCATTCAATATACCTATTGAGACTTTTCAATGACCCGGTCGCCATGTTCTTTTTGTATGCATCCATCAACGCCTTGCTGTACAACCGTTTCACAATTGGCAGCGTATTATTCAGGCAAGTTAAATGTATTTGTATTTGAGACATCATCACATTTTCCTCAGTCTTTCTTGTGTATGAGTATTATTTAGCATAACTTCTGTCGAAGTTTCGTGTAACCGAATAAATATATGCGAAACATGGTATATGTGAGTGATATTGTTGGGAAAACGTTGAAAGAATGAAACCATTATATCACACTTTTCCCTATTTTCTCAATGATCATCTCCCCCCCAGTTTCACCAACTTATCCCACATTTCGACGAACAATTTTCTAATTATATACTTTCCGAGTATATACTTACATCGCATATGCCATGTAATCTAAAAAATTGTCCCTTTTGTTCCATTTTCTTAAGGGGGCGTATCCCACCTTTTATCCCGTTTTCCCACTTATATTAAGAAACTCCCAGAGTGGCCCATTTATCTCAATCCAAAACACTAATCAATAACTAAATAAAAAGTCATTACGATTACCTTTATCCAGTAGGGAAGGTATAGCGGTTGCTGTCAGTCTTTGCACTAGTTGCATTACTAATAAATAGTTATGCGGTAATTGAAACTTTAGTCACTGAATTAAATTTACGTTGGTTTGGAATGCGGTCATACTACTTTTCGGCATAAAGTTTCAATTTAGTTGATATGCCTAAGTTCTTTTTTGCTTTACACACACTTCCAATTTTCAGAGAATGGGATTATAAATGTCATATAGGTAGTAATATTTGGAGCAACCCTAAAAAGTCTCAGGTTTTATTACGAAAAAGCTGATTGCATTTTTGGATAGGTGTTTTGTTGATATCATTATTATTTCCCGCGTCCTGTGTAGAACATAGGGCTTCAGTAACACATTTTTACTTCAGTCAGTCCTCTTCCATCACTTTCAACCGACTCGATGACTACTCATAGACTTTGATTTCCTTTACGCATGATCTCTGTGTTACCCTCGGATGCCAAACTCATTGCTGCCCACTCAGGTTCCGTTCTAGAACCTGGCGTGTGACGTTAGCGTATGTTCAACCCGTTTTCATTTCCTTCTGTAACAGCAGAAGGCAAAACACGGAAGCCAACTGATGAAAGCGCTATATATACATAGTTTATATTCTTTAACCAATCAGTGAGGGTGTGATCTTTGTGTACGTTCAAGGACATGAAATCTAATGTTTAAATAGTATTCTGTTGCTAATGCAGTATTAAACTGGGAATAGTATTCAGATGTTAGCATCAACAAATGCAATGATTCTTACAGTAAGAATAATATTCCGTTTGAACACATTGTCTGTATCACACCACCATACTTCTGCATATCTGTTAGGTATTAGGTTGTTATCTGATTTGCTGCCTTTCCTTTCTAGTTGACCATCTGGTCTTCATGATCGGTAGAAGGTATCTGTTGATGAAAGTCTGCTTTAGGTGACGTGTACACCAAGTATCCAAACCATACTAGATTGACTCATGGTATACATCGTAGCGTTATGAACTCTATCTTCATTGAAAAATAACAATTTCATCCTATCTTATCTTTGTAAATGTAATGGTAGCAACACTTTGGATAATACGACGAAGAACTATTTCATCTAACTCACTGAGGCTTTTAGCTTCAGTAGCACAACTCTATTTTGGATTGTAGTAAGGAATTTGCAGTAAATATTTTCGGAAATTTCGCTCCTAAGTTTGTAAATGAAAACTACAATTCATACTTGTAATGTGTCGTTTTCCATTCAAGAATATTACACTACCATAAGGTAGTTATCCACTCAGATAAACAACTTCCTACATGTATGGGTTAAATAAGGTGATGGATAATCTGAATATTCTTTAGCTAATTTGTAGATGTTACTGTAGTGTCTATATTGTGTTAATCATCATTATCTGACTTCTATTTGTTTCAGCAATGTAAGCCTCGTGTAGTTTGCCTAAATCGTTGTTCTCGATATTCTTGACTCCATCATAAATACTGATCTATGCTATGTATCAAATTGTAAAGAATTTGGGAGCGGTGTCATTATAATGGAAACACAGGTGTTAGCAGATATTACTGAATATTTATATGCTTTCCAGACTTACATCATACTGATACATCTGGATTTGGTGTTATATTTAACTGTCTTCGCGTTGTTAATAATTCACTTAACTGGTGGTGGCAGCTCCCTTTCTGATCCCTTAATACACTGATATTCCCCAACAGCTATATCACTTTTCTAAAGATATGAGAAGTTTGGAATTTTCAGCAAGTAAAGACCTAGATTTTCTGTAATGCAGTAGTGTGTTCTATGAAATTCATCGTTAACGTTCCACAGCCACATATATTTCATTTTTAATGAAAAACAATTGTGTCCGAGAACGTATAACATCTCTATTTGACGCATAATAAGAGTAGTTTTCAGTCTGCAACTGATAATGAAATAGTGTGTCAATATCGCTTAAATATTTGTAGAAGTTATTTTGATTTACGGTACTATTTGGTAAGTCTGGTTAAATGTTGGTAAAAACTCGATGCTTACTATTGAAAGCCGAAATGTGAATAGTGGACGCGAACTTGTTTTCACTGAAATCTTCGATATTTCTCTGTTATAGTCTTGGTGTATCTGTAAAGATGAACATACTGCTTTTCTCTCCTGGATTTTTGATTGTTCTGGTCTGGCACAGAGGACTTTTCGCCACCATTGGTCATCTTTTCGAGTGTTTCGCTGTACAAGTGAGTATGATACATTTTATCTGTTCTGTTTGTATCTTGTTTCTTTTGTATATTCCTCGTAAATTGCTAGCGTTTTTGAAATGTTGCATTCCACATAGTAGTAAAAAGTTAGATAAGGAAACAAATCACAGCAAACTTTAACGCGTATTTCTACATAACTTTACTGATATTTTCGACTTTTTAAGTATCACATCCATTTGACAATATATTTATATTTTGTGACACAATTAATGTTTAGCTTACACAAGGTATCTGAAGAGTTCACTGCGTCCGCAATAAATATTAAAGTCTCAAAATTTTTGTTGTGGACTCTAAATCCCATCATCTTGTGCATTTGACCACTTAGGTACAAATATAACTAGTATGATTCAAATAAAGCATAAAAACTTATAAATCTTCTTACTGATTGTCCTTGTTTTCGTCTATTAAACTCTTGAATATTTCTATGAATTTCAGTTGGCTGTTGGCACTCCATTTCTGTTCTACAATGCCCTGGCATATGTGAGCAGAGCATTTGATTTTGGTCGCCAGTTTATGTTTGTATGGACAGTTAACTGGAAATTCCTACCAGAAGACACGTTCTTGGATAGGCGGTTTCATTTACTTTTGTTGAGTGTACATTTATGTCTGCTATTCATATTTTTCTGGAAGTTTGTTCGGTAAGTATAACTTTTATTTTTTGCTTTGTAATTACTGTATCAGGAACAAATAGTTTCAACAAAGGCAATAAGTAGTGCATGACATTTGATCTCTTGTTTCGTTTTTGTGGTAATCAGATACACGCAACATTTTCACATATTATACAAAGTGGAATGGACTCATATTTTACAACTTAGTATCTTTTTGAATAAGTAGTATCGGTACTATGGATTCGCTGATTTAAGAAAATCTGTAATAGTGCTTCAACTAATGTGTCTTTATATCCATAAGGATAAACAAAAGTTAGCAGCACAGAAGCATATCACTTAAACAGTATAACGAGTTGAAATTAAAACATAAAAGAACAAGTAAAGTGAGAACCACTCTTAAGATAACAATAACAACAATATTTAGTTCAACAAAGTGCGTGCAAAAGCTTCTCATCTGTTTCGTGTATCGGAAGGTAAGTGAATACTTATCCGCCCAGTCACTAGACAGAGAATCTTATCTACTATGTAACAAATAGTGAGTTACTGTGATATCGTTTTCAATAGCTCACAAAAAAAGCATCTTACCTATGATTCTAGATAATTGTACAGCAGTGTTACTTAACATAGTAATATGTTTTAAATCTACCTCCAAGGACAGTGATGCTTAGTGATTAGCAAGGAGACTGGTCTCCAATTTTAATTTTTCTTTGCCTGGGAACAAAGATTTGACTGGACAAGTTCGCTTTCTTAAATTAAATAGCATTCATGTTGTGATTTTTGTCAACTTCAATTGAAGTCTATGGTAGCTCACTGGTTAGCTTATTTTGTTGTCATCAACTTCGTGGTACCTAGCCAGTTAAATTATTCCATAATGTATTGTGTGTAAACTCTTTCACTTTGTAGTTCACGTGGTGGCTTATGGAATTATCTCTGCATTCGTGATCCTAAACGAAATCCAAAGTTGGATCCTACAGGTAATCAACTATATTTTTCACTTGCTGGGTAAAAATGTTTTGATTATGTATCATTGATATTACATATCAACTAGACATGTGATATAACTCCTCATGTCCCAGATGATAAAAGTGTCTATAAAAAGTAATTGAGGTGCACTGACGTTTTTTTATTTGAATACGGAGGGATTTTATGGTTTGTTTGCTATGTGAATGCATGACACTGTTTGAATATGCTTCTATAAAAGAAACCAAATGAATGAATTCAAATAATTGATGAAAATGATTCTATGATTCTCGCTTCATTCATTTACTGACCTAATGGAAAACAGTGATCCATCTGTCTTTGAATTTACCATTATTAGTATAGAATTACTTGTTTATATGGGCTTTACTCACAGTAGTCTTTTTATTGATATTACCTGTGAATTCCATGTATGTTAATAAATTAACTCGAAATTTACTAGTTTTGAAATTAATAACGACTAGTCTTATCGATTGAAACTTTGAAGTCAGCTAGAGAAATATTTGTTTTTGGATACTGTGGATTATCGTGATTTCAGGTCTCTTCTGATAATCTTTAGTGTCATTTAATATGTACAGATTTTTCTCTAGTTTGATAAATTTTCTCATTTGTGTAGAGAAGCCGAGTAACTGGAAAAGGCGAAAGAGTATGAGGTGTGTTAAACTCTGCTTTCCATTTATATAACAGAGACGATAAAGTTGTCATATTTAATTATCCTCTTACTAAGTTATTCGTATGTACTTGGATTTCAACAAAATATAAACATAGTCGTTAAAAAACGTAAATATTCATACACATACACCTATGTGACAGCTAGTGAAGCTAATGGGGCGGAGCCACTTTATAAATCGACTTTCTAAAGCAGTGACTTCTGTAAATATAATTGAAACTGTGATTCAGCAGTCATCATACGACCGTTTGGTGAGGACATTCAACGCCTTACAACCTGCTTAAATCTAAACACTGATTCTGTAGACTTAAGTAACTGTCTGTTAGGAAGACTTGTATGCAAAAGATTGCATTTATTTTTTCTTCGATGGGTATCGGTAAAATTCACGGGTCAAGACAAGCTGTATTTCTTAAGAAGTGAAATACTTTCGCCTTCAACTGTTCATCAGTATTGACCCTGATAATACGGAGGCAGGTATGATTATATCTTCAGATTTCACTTTAAACTTTATGTCTTTCTTGTGTAACTTGACTGAAGATAACAATGTTGACGTTGGTGTTCCGTACTTTCGACAGGTTCCAAGGACATTGATATAAGAGCGATGATGCTTGTCTGCCTTGAGGTAACTACTACTGTTCAGTTTAAATGTTAATTAACGTTGTTGTTTTTTCTTTTGAGTTATTGTTCTCTGCTTTTTCATCTCTTTTAAAATGTAGCTATACTATACCCCTTGTTCATGTCGAATTTCGTCGGTATTATTGTTAGTCGTTCGTTGCATTATCAATTCTATGTTTGGTATTATCATACTATTCCATACCTTCTATGGTGTGTTAAAGGCTTCTCCGTTCCTGTCCGGTGAGTACTATTGGCTTCTATGATTTACTTCACTAACAATGGATACATATGTGAAGAGCACTAAGAAAAGTAAATTTAAATTTTCACACCTTTTACTCACCTCTTTATCTCAACTTCATCGACTTTGAAAAAGCCTTTGACAGCGTCGATCAATAGGTGATTCGGAAACTACTTCGCTACTACGGGGTGCCACCGACAATAATACATCTCATCCAACAGCTATACGACAATGCTGCATGCCAAGTAATCCACAATGGGAAACTTACGGAACCCTTCGAAGTGAGGACAGGAGTAAGACAAGGCTGCCTACTATCGCCAATGATTTTCTTGATTGCAGTAGACTGGATAATGCGACAAACAGTGGGCAATGAGGAAACAGGCATAAAATGGACACACACAAAAAACTTGGAGGATCTGGACTTCGCCGATGATATATGTCTGATTTCCCACAAACTGCAGGATATGCAAGCGAAAAGCAACAAGTTAGCAGAAGAAGCATCAAAGATAAGAGGGACTTCAGGTGAACATAGAAAAAACAGAGGTGATGAAAATTCCTGGGCAACACCACCAACAGCAACAACAACACAGACAACAATCAGCATAAATGGGAGGGACCTGAAAGAAACAACCTCCTTTACCTACCTGGGAAGCATCGTTTCAACTACAGGCGGAACTGACGAGGATATCAAAGCAAGGATCAGAAAAGCAAGACAAGCTTTCACTACTCTCAAGTCTGTGTGGAGGTCAACAACACTTAGCATCAAAAATAAGATCCGGATTTTCAACTTCAATGTGAAGTCAGTGCTACTATACGGATCAGAGACTTGCACTCCGCGTCATAAAGAGCATCTCAAACAAACTACAGACCTTCATTAACAGTTGTCTTCGCTCAATACCACTAAAGATCAGATGGCCAGAAAAGATCAGCAACAGGGATCTCTGGGAGCGAACCAACCAGGAACCGATTGTGCAACAAATAAGCAGGAAGAAATGGAGATGGATTGGCCATACTCTGAGGAAACCATCAAGTGACATCACTAGACAAGCCGTTGCTCCAGTGGAACCCGAAAGGGAAGCGGTGAGTTGGTCGTCAGTGCAAGGGTGATTTGGAGGAGGTCATGTGAAGAGGAGATGAAAACGTGTGGGCAGACTTGGAGCCAAGTGAAAACTCTAGCAGAGAATCGAACGCAATGGAGACGCACGGCTGAAACCCTATGTTCCTCTAGGAATTAAAGGATACAATAATAATAATAATATACTCATAGTTAGTCAAGTTAGGATGAGATTGAAAGTGGAAAAACATGTTATCGTTTAGCATCTAACTTAGCTAACGTATTTCAGATTATTTTAATACGCACTTCATTTTTTTTCTTATAGTTCAAGTTAGACCTAATCTTCTTAATAAGTGTATCACTTAACAGTCTTGATATCTCGTGGTTCACACGCTCTCATCCTTCGATGCATATCCATAACTGAATGTCTATGACTGTCAAAAGTAGATCATCCCTAGCAGTGATGAATAACCATAACAACAGCGATAAATTCTGTTCGAGACATCATCCAGTTAATAATACTGTATCACGGTATGGTATCAAAGATACCTACCTAATACGGTAGTATACTCTATCACAGTGCTCAAATTCTATTCATCATGAATAGCACTTGCATGCTAAAACATAGCACACTTCTGAGTAGTAGAGTAGTCTACCTTAAGATGGTTGGAGACGGTCACTAAAATTCTGTCAGTTGGGGTTTAATGCTTGTTAGCACTCATCGGAAATTAGATTGTTGGAGACCTGGTTTTCATCCTCGTTGGCACTCACCAGTTAGCATGTCAACCACATTAGAAACTTGATTTATAGGATTCAGTCTGCAACAAACAAGGGACTAGATACGCTATAGTAGTTCTTAACTAGTCTTCAATCAAAGTACTCATTGGAAATCTTGAGAGAATTGTCTATACAACTGGTGAACACATTGAACATTAGGATGATTACATTCAGTTATTACCTAGGGCTAGAATACGCGATATGAATTAATTTCAGTGACCAATCAAGCTATATAGTTGGCTGTTTTAAATAAGTAACATGAAGTAACTACAGATTAAAACCAGTATATATTGGGATTTCAATTCATGCATGTTGACTGTTTGGGGAGTTTTTTATTGTTCTTGCTGAAATGTATATTCAAGTGTTAGTTTGTAGGGATTTGATTGGTTACAGGATTTTCATCATGAGCTGACATTAGTTAGAGAACCATTGGAAAACCTGGGAGTACTGGACAGCTGTTTCGTCCTAGTTTGGCACTATTCAGCAGTACGCACCCACCGGGATTCGAACCCAGGACCTTCTGGTTACAAGGTGAGCTCGTAAAGCATTAAGCCACTGGGACCCGATCCAATGGCCCATGAATTCTAACTTCTGCCAATTCACGACATAGCGCGACCCTTAGCCAATGTCTTTGGCGAGTATTTGTCCTCACACCCGACCTGTTGCACCCTACTGGTCACAACTTCTCACTAGAACCCCAGGTAACTACCTACCTGAATAGGGCAAGTCGCTAGTGAGCATCTCATTGATATTCAAGTGTTGGTCTGTAACCAGAAGGTCCTGGGTCTGAATCCCGGTGGGTGCGTACTGATGAAGAGTCCCAAACTAGGACGAAACAGCTGTCCAGTACTCCCAGGTTTTCCAATGGTTCTCTAACTAATGTCAGCTCATGATGAAAATCCAGAAATGTATATGTTGACGACTGGTCCACTTGTCAAACGTTAAGCAGAATAATAGATGTGTGTATATATTTTTCATACATTTTAGTTTCCTGATATTTTTCTTTTACTTCCAGAAAGCACATACTTTTATATTTTAAAATACACCCATTGAAAGGGTAACCTTTTTATTTCACTCTGTATCTATGAATGTATGCTTTAAAAATGATGATGGTTTTTTGAATCCGTTAACCTAATCTTTTACCATTTGGGGTTGTGTTCTGTTGTTTGTCAACTTAATGTTCTTTAAAAAAATAGTCTTGCAGTTTTCAGGTCATTTCATTTTATTGATTGTAGTGAACTTATATATTACTATCTGTACAAGCTCTATATGCAAACCCTGCTAACACAGTGTTGTTATTGTCTGTCGTGTATACTCTCTGTTTAATTCTTTGTTTCATAGAAACGATAACAGTAACCAGGGTGTTATTCTATGCTCTCTGTTTCAACAACATGCGAATTATTTAATTCTATGTAGATTTTCATTCGATTGATTGGACCGAAGTGCTCCGTCTCAGGTTGACATTTCGTCTCCTTGTGTAGATGCGTCGATGATGTCTGTTCATGTAACTTGAAGTTAATTAGTTGATGGCGACTAGCAGTGGAATCCAGGATGCTCATTTCGTCCTATTTGGAACGCATCAGTTGGATGTACCTGCATTCCCCAGTGAGTGTAGGTTTTTCCACCGAGGTTCAAACATAGTGCCCATAGTCTCTAGTAGATAACGCTTTGGCGTTTGAGATTTACTTTTAATTATTTTGGACAAACGCAATCAGTTGATATTAATAGATCCCTATAGACGTCAGTTTGTTTGAAGGTGTTGCTTGCCAGCTTTCAGCCAACGAGCCCCATTGTACTTGCTTTGGTTCATAACCTGGATCCTAGAAACCTCTACACTGGGTTAATGATTTGTACTAATTTTACTTTTAAGAGTCATTTCATCGTTGTACATTTTCTGTAGGGTGTGTTTCATCATATAAAGTTACACTTCACTTTAATCTGACGTATATCTTGAATGATGAAATTTCATATCAAGAAAGTTTTAAAATATGTTTCAAAATATTTGAGGTAATTTATAGACATTACGGATTTATCTAAGGGATATAATAAAGTTCTGCATATGTCAAGCTTATTGAATGTTGGGGAATAGGGAAACCCGAATCTAAGCATATATTACTCATTATTTTTTGGTCTGTGGTTGTAGTTGTAATGGGTTTATTCTATGCATTCATCTTTTAAAATAAAGAACAACTGGTTAGTTGTTTTCTGGACTGTGGGTTTCATTGCATTTATTAGTTGTTAAAACGTGTGTTTCCTAACACGTTGGAATAATGCTTTTAGAACTGATACGTCTTCTTCGAGTGATCAAAACATATCCTGTGATTGATTGAAGTAATACCTAGGCCTTATTTTTCTTTTAGTTCAGTCGTTTGAATGCTAAAGACGTACAGTTTAAATCATATCTTGACAAATTTATTTTTCATTGATATAGCGCTAAGATAATTGCATACACTGTTTACTTGTTTCCTTCGATAGACTGTTAATCCTCGGTCTAATTGAAATTTGTTGGAACACTTATCCATCAACAATTTGGAGCAGTGGTCTGTTACATGCATGCCACTTATCAATCTTGGTCGGATTAATTGTGGGTTCTGTGCCAGTCAAATCTATATCTCTGCCTTCCAAAAAAGAAACAACTAAGAATACAGGTGATACTCCTTCAAAAAATCAACCATCTAGTGCTCGCAAAAAAGCTTTCAAAGGATCACGAACTTCCAGTGGCAAACAGAAACAAGCTTGAACTCTTTCATCCTAATGAATACATGTGTAAATGTCTTCTATATTGTCATTTGTATTCATGTACAGAATGGTTTATTTTTCTAATAAATAAACTATTGCTAGTCTGCAGTTTACTTCAGTAGTATTATCATATCTATACTTGATAAGTGCCTGTAATAATTTATAGTGTAGTGAAGTTTTAGCTTATATGAACTCATATATTTTCGAACCAAAGGTGAAAATATATCCAGTACTATCTGATTCACAATGAAATTGGCTCTTCAGTTTCCCGGAATAAGCGTGGAGTCTTTTATACAAATTGACTGGGCTTGCCAACCACGCACCTGGTCCACGGTTCTATCCCCGACCAACGCACTCGTTTAGCCGGTAAAGACGGAAGGTTGGGTGTGAAGCTAGCACCCCCATCCCGTAAAAATAAAATTACTGCTACCTAAACTTCGAAGCTCTAGCTCGGAACGTAGAGGAATAAAATAAACTTTTATACAAATCGTCGATAGTGAACTTATATAAAAGATAATTTCAAGAAATATGGACTCCTCTTTCAGAATAGCAATGTAAGACAATCTTCGTCCAGTCCCTTTGTATTATTATTATTTCGTTACCGATTGCTTCCAGAGTATAGTTTGCTTAAGAGTTCCCCTTTAGACAGAGTATTTTACTATAAAGCATTAAAAAAAGAAAATAGTTCCTTAGGTAATCGACCATCACTAAAAGGTAATTGTTACCTGCGCAACACGTAACGAAAACTTTAATATCCTGTCATTATAAACTAAAGAGGTGAGAGAGTTACATAACTACTTCCCGTCGAGGGAAAATACTTCTGGAACACTTTCACCCCTTCACTAAGTGTTCAGCCCAGTTGATGACTTCTTTGGAAAGTACATCGTAAAATAAATTCAAATACCTGTTATTTTGATGCTTGACATATATATGTTGTCCTGTCTATAATTTTAAATGAATCTAGTTTAAATCTTCAATTGAGAAATCAGAAAAATTATGCAGCGACCTTCCATTTGTTATATGCCTTCCTGACCCCTTACCATAGACGTTCATGAATAAATAAATTACAGTATCATGGTTATGACAAATTGAGTGTACTGTTTAGCATAATTCTGGCTTGTCGATTGTAATTGGTAAATGGTAAGGCGATAGAACAACAGTTAGTGTCTCAAAACTGTTTAGTAAAGATTCACTCAACTTTTTGTTGTTAAGTAAACCAATAGAATACAGTCATCCATCTTACATATGTCATACGGAACAGAAGAATGAGGTAGTCATTTTATTAAGAATCTCTTTCTAGCATTACAGTTTACTAGTTATCCCACTGATATCAAAGCTGATGCATCAACATTGTTATTTATCCAGTCAGTTATATCTAAACAGCAGCACACCCGGGGCATAAATCGTACGAAAGTGAATAAATTGGTATATAAATGCTATAAAACAAGTGAAAAGTTGATTAACGGTTAAGAAGAGCGTTCATCCATTGTTTAATTAATTTTGTTGTTGTAAGAATTAGTAACATTGCTGGTGACTGGGAATACTGCTTGCTAGAGAAGGCGAGAAACTGTTCCTGATTATTCCATATATTTATTTTATTTTGGTTACAGCTTGATGCCACACCGTATTTTTCAGTACAAGTATGACATTTTCAGCATGGATATCGGTAGCCCAAATTTTGCAGGCCGACCATAGATATCGGTTGTGCGCCGGCAGAGGCTCGAACCTCGGACCATGTGCATGGTGGGCGAGAGTCCTAACCACTGTGTCACCGACTCACATAGTTCTTAGAATTAGTCAATTAACTTGCAGATGAATGGGTCTCGACTGTGTCTAACTCATTCTGAGCAAATAAATAACTTTCCTATAGTTTGGTTTGTAAGGGTTAGTTATGTTTTTACCAGTTGATCACGGATTGATATCAGTGGGACATCCATTCACACATGCTCACTAGTAACTTGCTACAGAATGGAGTTTCCTGGAATTCTATTGAGAAGTCGTGACCAGTGAGGTCCAATTAGATGTCACGTGTGTGGATGGATGTCCCACCAACGACAGTGGTCGGGGTCGCACTAAATCAGGAATTGGTAGAAGTTAGAATTCATGGGCTGGCCATTGAATCGGGTCCCAGTGGCTGAATGGTATACGAGCTTGCCTTGTAACCGGAAGGTCCTGGTTTCGAATCCCAGGTGGGTGCGTACTGCCGATGATTCCCGAACTAGGATGAAACAGCAGCTGTCCAGTACTCCCTGCTTGTTTTCAATGTTTCTCTAACTGATATCAATCCGTGATCAACTCGCAAGTAAATAACGTCATAAACCTCCATATGCGAGTTGCGTTTTTTAGAAAAATTTTACAAGTTCATTTAAGTCGGGCGTTTCCGAACTACTTAGAAAGTTGATTTCCACCTGTGTATATAAGAAAATATCCTTATTTGTTTAATTTTGTGAACTCATTAATGAATGTTCAAATTGTTTTATTAAATATTATATCAAATATATTGGGTATGGGAAAAATATTTTTACAATCCTGTTGTAACGCCCATTATTATTTGGCTGTTATTATTGAGCAGACAGTTAGGAATTTTCTGAATTGCAGAATTTGAAATCAGTGATCGGCAATCATTAATATTGAAATAATGAGTGTTAATTGAAAGTCTGGATCACTGCAGGAGAAGAAATAGCCTCCAAATTATTATTAGTATTACTGAAGCAAAAGAATTCGTGTCATGCAAAGAAATGCATTCACTACTTGTTAAGGTTTTGTTACAAGGTGAGTAATTTTTGTCTGCATACCAGCCTACAAAGTGTATTCTTCTATTCCGGTCTAAACACAAAAGCGATAAGTCAGTTAGCATTATAGAATCAGTTAGAAATCGGGTCGATTTTGGTTAAAGTCAGGAAGCGTTTTAACTCTTTACCAATATGTGTATTTCAGTAAACGAAATACAGATGACTGTAGTCTTAATTTTAATCTAGAATAAAAACTAATTTAGGTAGTTTCACTTTGTATTCAAACTGTGTCAGACAGTTTGTCGATATCAACAATTTAATATACCTTTCCACTCGGATCTGACGCATCTGCAGTCTGACACCCTGGAAGCAGAACTGGATCTTCTGAAGGAAACCTTCATCCAAAATGGATAACCGCCAAGTTTCATCGACACTAATATCAGACCAGAAGTCCAGAGGAGCGACACATTACTTCTTCCAAAAAGGAAACTTCACATGAGTCTGGTTTTCGAGGAAGACTTGGTCTGTGATATCCTTAAGAGAAGAATTTCGCCATCATTGAGAAGAACATTCTTCGCAACAACGGTAAGAGTAGCCCTGTCCAGTCGTCCGATGGTCTTTGGAAGCCTTAAGTACAAGATCTCGCATTTGACCACTTTTATGTGCATACATCAGTTCACCTGTTGCTGTGGAGCTGGGTGCATTGGTCGTTAGATACGTATCCTGTCCAGAAGGATTCCACAATAATATTTTGATGCAGTTGTGTTCTCTGAGCTGGATGGTTTATTTGCGAAGCTTTCATTGCCCTACTAGGCAACATCTTCAGCGCATACTTTAATTTGAAGTGAGCTTTTAGATTTCTCCACAAGTTTATTAGTCATCTCCTGGACATCAGTTCGACTGGGACAACGTTCAAATATTAGACAGAGGGAAAACCAAGAATGCTGGAGAACTTTTAGAAGCCTGGTATTCCAGTTAATCATCAATCAATAGACACATCGAAATAGAATTTACCAATCAATAGGAAGGAAATCTCACACACAAAGGGTGGCACAGTGGTTAGGAATCTCGCCGACTATGCACATGGTCCGGGGTTCGATCCCCTGCCGACGCACACCCGATATCTATGGTCGGCCTGCACAATTTGGGCTACCGATATCCATGCTGAAAATTCCATACTTGTACTGAAAATACGGTGTGGCATCAAGCTGTAATCAAAAAAATAAAGTTCAAGTCAAGGAAGCAATCAGTACCAATACAAGTAGCCTAAAGGATGTGAAAACACACAAAAACAAACAATCACGTTCAAGGGCAATGGAGAGATGACTAATAAACTCGTGGAGAAATCTAAAATCTCACTTCAAATTAAAGTATGCTCTGAAGATGTTGCCTAGTAGGGCAATGAAAGCTTCGCAAATAAACCATGCAGCTCAGAGAACACAACTACATCAAAATCATCCACCTTACGTTACTATCCCGTATTGCTGTTAACACGTATTAGTGGTTTATAATGAGTGAAATCATCGAAAATCTTGTCAACACTAACCATTCCATGTTAACAAACGCCTCCTACAAAGTGAAAAACGGCCCACCAAAAGCAATACACATTCGTTGGCTTTGAATTGTGTCATACAAAAACGTTGCAACGATACCACTTCACGACTAACGAAAAGCCTGAAACCATCTGAAACTCTTTCGTCGTTTCCACAGAATCCGGAGAAATACGTCTTTAATTTCTCGAATTTTCTTCTGACTCCTGTTCAAATGCAAGTGCTATCACTCGGCCCAAAATTTTGCCATGTACCGAGTAAATTCAACGAATTACAAACTAAAGTGCAGTTTGAGAATTTAATGTCACAGACATCCGATTTGTCACCTACCTCTGAAAAAGATCTGGATCAATTCAAAGCTTCAATTCTTGACAGCTGTTACAAGTACATTCATACGCGACCGACCCACCGTTATCTACTGACCAAGGAACACAGACGACAACTTAAACAGCTCCAAGAAAATAAAGATATAATCCTCGTCCGTCCTGATTAGGGTAATGGTATTGTAGTAATGAATAGATCCGATTATAACGAGAAATTGACAGATATACTATCAGATAACACCAAATTCTTCGAATCGCCCAACCAGAAAGACACAACCGAAAGAACTGAAAACCTACTTACAAAATTGCTGAAGAGAATGAAAGAAGATTCAGTCATAACACCGGAGGTTTATGAGCAAATAAAACCTCGCAGTTCAACTATTCCAAGACTATATGGACTGCCTAAAGTGCATAAGGAGAATGTCCCACTTCGACCTGTCATAGACATGGTTAACTCACCATATCACCAAATCGCGAAGTGGCTAGCTGATATCCTCGAACCAGTTAA